TCCTGTCAGACACAGATCAAATAGATGATGATTCTACTGAGTCTAAAAAGATATTAGTGGTTCAGATTTTGGCAGCTGTTTTGAGCTGGGATCATCAACCACGAAAAGTTTTTTGTTTTTTTTAAACTGTGGAAAGTTTTAAAGGACATGTTGGCTGTCTCAGGTAGATCTTCCTTGGCAGAGACAGGGAAGTACATAGGTCAAGGCAAACCATTCTAGACAAGCAGAATAACCGTAGCCAACATAAGATGATGTTCATAAACCAGCAATGGTTTCTTAACCAAAGCTCAAAGAACAACATGATGTCAGGGGCAGAGCTATGGAAAGTACTGGGCTCTGCGAACTACAGCTATGGCTGCAAATCGGTGGGCAGAGGACAGCAGTACATGAAAGCACCATGTGCAAGGACTCTCTTGCATGCACATACACACATACCAGTGTACGCTGCACCGGTGTCAAAAACAAAGGACAATGGGACTTTGGTCACTCCTAGGTCACAGAGCCATCACATATGGAAATTGCATTGCTCTAGAAAAGGAAAGACAGGCAGATGCAGCATTGATAGAGTATCTGGCATATAAAAGGATGAATTATTTGTGAACCTCACACCTGGACAAATGCAACAACCTCCCAGCTGTGATTCTTCTCCTTAATCAACAAACATCTGACTGTTTTCCCATATACCAGGAACTATTGTAGGTGCTAGATACTAAGACTGATGACAACTGGTCCCTGCCCTCATGAAGCTTACAATTTTGGAAACTAGGTGTACTGACAATACACAGGCATACATGTTATGATCTATAGGCTGACAATAGTGTCACCTTCCACTCAATTTTTAGATACTAGGGCTCTGTCTTATTTCCCCCTTTGCCCAATACTCTGCTCTGTAATCTGCCTGATAACTCCATTCCTCCAAGATTGTCCTTGTCTCTGCCAACCCTCCCAGGAACTCTACATGTTCAAAGACTTTACGGACTCCCAACTACATGCCTGCTAGCATCTCTCTATTTACCTCCTCCCAGATTCTCCAACTCCATCTTTCTGCCCTGCTCACCTACCTGGATATCCATTTCTCTTGCTATTCTTCCCTGACCCCACACTCTCCAGATGCTTGTGCTCTGAGATCTGAGCTCCCCAAACTTCTTAAATGGAAGAAGGAAACCAAGTTCATAATCAGAAGACTGCTTGGAGGGCTGGAAATTGGTGGCCTTTTAAAGGTTGAGGTCATTGAGGGGCCCATCCTCATGGTCAAGCTGCTCTGCTTGGCCCCAAGTAGTCAACTGGGTACTCTCTTTCTGGACAGTTCTGGAGAAACAGACAAAATGTTTTATGCTTTTGCTTCAGTGGTTCTAGGCTCCACCTTTTTACTTCTTTCCACAATTCATTAGGTTCTAGCTTTCTTTTACTTTCAATCATGCTTTGGCTAGATTCGCTCTTCATTTTAACCTCTCGTTCTTAATTTGTTCTTATTTGATCTAATAATTCTGCAGAGGACCAACATTACCTACTAGTGTAGATTTTACTGGTTATTAAGTGAGAAAGAGAGAGAGGGAAAGAGTAACAGAGAGAGAGAGATTTCACCCCTAAAATATCTCATCCCTGTGGCCCCATCATACAGACGATAGTGGCAGGAGGTGCATTTTGCTCTTCACAGGCTGGAGACATTTCTGATTGTCATGACTGAGGGAGTGCTTCTGGCTTCTAGTTGGTAGAGGCCAGGGATACTGTTAAACACCCTACAATGCACAGGACAGTCCCACAACAAAACAATTATCCAGCCCCAAATGTCAGCAGTGCTGAGGCTAAGACACGCTGGATCACAGTATTTTCACAAGGCCCAGGACGATGACAGAGCTGCTTCTCACTTGGGCGGAGGTTCCTCTCAACTCTCTGAAGTTATCAGTAACACCCCTGATGATTTGGCTGACTCTAATCGTGGAGCTTCTGCTTGCGGCCTTTTACACACTCCCACCTAAAGTCAAAGTCATTGCTCACTAAACACACTGAAAACTAGTTATCCTTAACCACATGTGTAGGGACGCAGCTGGCCCATATGACTGGTAGACCAGCCCTCATTGTGCACACATGAAGGCTTTACTTGCTTGAGAGTTGTTGCAAAACGCGTGGTGTTGGCTGTGCTGAGAGACAGAAGAAACGGCAGGAAGGGACGTGGAAGTAAAAATCCTACATGGAGTGAAATTCCACTAGGCTTACGAGGACTTAAACGTTTTGTGAGTGAAAGAGAATGCAAACAAATAGATTCTACTTTAGATGTGACGCATGCCAGCTTTGTCTAGGAGTCTCCTTCCTTCCCTCCTTTCCATTATAAGAAGCTATAGACAAAAAAAGAAGGAAGACAGGAAAGAGCTTGGAAATGGGCAGGTCACCTGGTCAGCACGAGAGCTGACCCTGACAGTCTCTGAGGTGGTGTTATGAAAATGACCGGAGAGAAAACCAGGACGTGCTGCCAAATGGGATCAGATTTGCCTTTTTCCTTTTCTTTAGTCACAGAACTGCAAGACATGACAAACTGATAACGACTGTCTTATGATGGAGCGGGGGTTACGTTCTAGGATAGGGTGGAGGGGAGTGCAGGGAGGTAGAGACTCTTATGCAGAACCCCTCCCACACACAAAAGAATACATTTTTAAAGCCTGACTCTTCTGACTTCTAGTGTTAATGGTCTCCTCATTTCTCATTTAACCAAAAAGAAAAATTTGAGAATTTGAAATGACCTCTGGGCATGTGGATCTTGCAGGGCGATACTGAATGCTGGCCAGAGGGCTCATTTTGACTGTTAGGAAATAGCAACGGAGGTTCTGAGCCTAGGAGAGATTGTTAAACACATGATCTGAGCTAGAGAAATAAGTTGACAGGAAACGAATAAGAGAAAGGAAATGTTGCAAATGGATAACAGAAGAAAAACTGGGTATGAATCTATCATTTATGGGCAAGTACCAACTTATGAACTGATTATGTTCCGGAAAGTTCATCTGACTACTGGAAGCAACAACAGCACAAGTAGAGTGGAGGGAAATAGTACTTCATCAATTGCTGGATAGGACCCTCAAAAATTCACAATCCAATGCTTTCATTTTAAGAAGGAAAAACTTGGTTCAGAAAAGTTGATCATCATGCCTAGGATACTCTGAGATTTAGAAACAGAGGTTGGTCTTGGGATTCCCCAGGCAGTCCACTAACCATGCTGTGTTGTCTATAAGCAGGAAGGCAGTAAAAATAATGATGGTGAGGAGCACAGGGGAAGTGAAGGTGGTAGGGAAGGAACACTCTAGAAACAAAGGACGGGAAGGGCACTGCCTGGTCTGGGTCCCATTCCCCTACAGGAGACAGTTTGAGTGCACATTGAATGGGTGCTTCCTACACGGGGGCTCTGGTCCCTGCTGTTGCCCCAAAGATGTGGAATACGAGGAGAGAAATGACTAAGATGGAGTCTGCAACTTCTTTTCAAAATGTCAGCATTCTTCAGAACTCACTGCTATTTTCTCAGCCCCCTGGAATTCATTAATTTATTCATCAACTATTTACTGGACCCCATTTTGTACTGTCCCAGGCCATGCAGCTATGGCAGTAAGACAGATAAAGTCCTTTTCCTCTGGTGGATGCTTTCTAGTGAGACAGACAAAAAGCAAGCAAATAAATATGATAATGTCCGCTCATGTTAAGTGCTGTGAAGAAAATAATACAGGGTAATACGACAGTGACCAGAGGATCCAGGAAAAGCCTCTTTGAGGAGGTGACATTTGGGCTGTGACCTAAAAGGCAAGAGCCAGCTTTGCAAAGAGCTAGGGATTGAGACATCTGGGCAGAGAGCACCGCCCACACAAAGGCCGCAGTGCACGATCCAGCGATCAAGTGTGGCAAGTTCAAGGAACACACAGAAAGCCAGTGTGGCTGTCACTCGGTGAGCAAGAAGGGGCATACTAAATGAGTTCACCAGGGGTGAGCCCGCCCTCTCAGATTGATGCATGTGTTCATTTAACAAATATTTATTAAGCACCTACTATGTGCAGGACATGGCTAAGGATATATACATGGAACTGAGAAACCCCTAGCTCAAAGATTCTGTCCCCAGGGAAGAAGTTAAGAGTTGAGTAAGGGTGACAGAATCTTCAAAACAATTCTGCTACAGGTTAGAAAGTGTTCCACTCCAGACAGAATCACAACGCAGACACTATCAGGGTGCTTAGCAAGGCTAGGGGCTTTCCAGAAGCAACTGTATCAACACATCCATGCACCAACACAGCCAGTTTACAATCTGAAGAAGGGGACACATGGACGTCCAAAACTACGGCACAAGGCCTGAGATCCGGCCATCTGCTCCCCCAGGGCAGGGAGGTTAGGTCATCCCAGAGATGAGTCACCGAGCCCACCTTTCCCCACTGAGTGAGCCTTCTCGGTCTTCGTGGGTGGGGCAGGGCCACAGGAATCCCCCCACGCGGCCTAAATCTGTCGCACTCAGAAAACCCGGGCAGGGGAGCCACGAAGACCGAGGCTCCGATTAGCACCTGATTCACCGCGGCAAGCAGCGTAGGGCGGCGACTGCTGGGAACAGGCCCCCTGAGTCGCCCCAGGGGAAAAGGCTTGCGGGAGTTTCGGTGACCCCCATCCCGGGGGAGCTGCCCGGTGACACGCAGCCGCCGGGTAGAGGCGGTGCCTGCGCGACCCCCCCTCGCCCCGCCCGCCGTCCACTCGTCTGGCCCTCCGTCTGTCCGACCGCCCGCGGGAACGCGCGCGGCGGCACCGCGGGCGGCGCGTGCGCTCTGGCCCTGGGTCCTAGACTCGCGGCCGCCCCCGAGCCCGGCCGCCGGGAGCCCTGTCCGCGCGGGGCGTGGCGGGCGCGGCGCCGGGAGCCCGACTACAAGTCCCAGGGAGCCGGCCGGGGAGGGGCGCGCTGGGCGCGGACGGGCAAAGCGAGACCATTTCCAGGCCCGGGTGCCGGTGCCCCTGCCCTGCGCGGGCTGGGCAGTCCGGGGCGGACGGGCCGAGAGCCCTGCCGTCCGTGCCGGATCCCTGCCGCAAACCGAGTGGCCTGGGCGTCCCTGATCCCTGTTGTGGTCGTTGTTTATTCTACGAGCACGAAATTCCTCCCCGCCCGCCCCTCCCTCCTCTGCTGTAACATGCCTTAGTGAGGCCGCGCCCGCACTGCCCTGGGTGCTAGAGTTCGCGGGCAGCCGCCATGGGGAATGGGATGAACAAGGTAACGTGTCTTTCTTTCCCTTGCGCTGTTTTTGCTTCCGCTTTGCAGCCTCCCCTCAGGCGGGGATTTGCTGGGCAGGAAAGCCCGTCCTCGCTCCCCCACCTGTCACCAGTGTCCAGTGCCACCGCCACTCCAACGTGGTGCGCTTCCCGTGGCGGGAAGGGGAGCGGGAGAGGGGCGGCGTGTCGGGCCTGATCGTCACGTCTGTGTTTTTGAGGTGCCCCCCCCAGACCCCCTGCCGGCTTCCGGGTGAGCAGTCCCCACGCCTGCTCCGCCAGCCCTGCGCCCTGCGGCTGAGAACAAGCCGTGCCCTTTAAAAGCGTTGACACTGGTTCTGCCTAGACCCCAGCTGAGCTCAGAGGTTGTGGTTTCTTTTTCTCCCCTCCCCTTCCCTCCCAAACTCGGCTGTTGAAACATCACCACCCACATCATTAGTAAACTGGAGTAGATAAGTCTATCTTCTATTCTGTAATTTCCTCTTTCTCCCCAGATTTTTTTCGTGTGCACAGATAAGTTTTTCTTGTGAACAGAAAAGTTGACAGAGGCCCAAGTGCTGAGGTGTTTTTAAATACCTGGGGCGGTGGAGGGGGACGACTAGATTCAGAGCTGAGTTATCCTGGGTTATGTGGCTTTGGCGACAAGGGCAGCCTGCTGGCTGGCTGGCTGCTTGTGCTGATTATGCCTTCTAGAAAATCCGTCTTGCTCTCTTTGTCTCTGTTCTGGCCCCCACCCACTACTCCCCGGTTTCCTAGACCCCCCTTCCTAGACTGTGGGATAGTCTGTGTCTTTCCTGGCAATGGAAGGTAGCAGACTCCAGCTCTTGCAGGGGAGAGCTGTGTGGGGTGTACTCGTGTCCACCACAAGATTACGGATTTTGTGATCTGGTGCTGCTGGTTTCAAGGAAAGACTTAAAACTTTTAGAAATCGCTCAGTAAAGACAAGTAGCTCTTCCCGAGGCTTTGAAGTGGTCCTGGATCAGAGGTCCGTTTCTGGTGTTCTGTTTCTTTGCCTCCAGTGTGTTCCACTCACTCACATCCCCACAAACATTCAGCTTTCCTATTTAGTGGATGGAACGATGTGGCTTGCTTTCTTTTTTGCTTTGTCTCAGCACCGGGGTCAGCAGTGGTTTGGTTCTTTCAGCTGGAGTGTTAGAGTGGGGAGGTTAGGAGCCAGGGTGGGGAGGGAAAAGTGTGGTGAGGTAATCCTGTGTACCTGCTTAACTCTTTTCACCTGCCCACATCGCCTTTATTGGTTCCTGGAGACCCAGTTTCTGAAGGAACTATTGTGTGCTTTGGGCCTGCATATCTGAGGTTTTTTGGTAACAAGAATTGTATTGGTTGTGGGGGGGGGGGCAGTGATCAAGTTTGGAAACAGATTATTTCTCTCTTGGATAAATACTAGATTATATCCCCATTAGCACTGGAATCCATCAGCACCATGAGCCATCTGCTTTTTAAACGAAAACAACAATAAAGGTGCTTTCACAAGTTTGTGGGCTCTGCTTGCCTTCCCATTCATTATGGTCATACCTCACCTGTCCTTTGGTTCTTCCTACCTGAGTTTTTCCGCCTGAGTCGTTCACTCTTTACCTCTTTCAGCATTTAATTTGTAGTGTTTTTATATTATAATTCGAGTAACATATTTAGGAATACAAATGATTGCCTAAGCGTTCAAAATTAATTTCAGGCTTTTCAGCAAAAACAGTCATATCCATGTCATGATTTTTACCTTTCAAAGAAAGTAATACATTTCTTGATGATGTTATTATTATAACCATCTTGTATTGTGAATAGAGCCACTATTTCCAGTGTAGAGATGGAGAAACATACGTACAGACAGATTTAGAGACGTCATTAATTCAACACTGTTGATTGTGCACTTAGTTAGCCAGGTACTGGGCTAGTTGAGGAGGGAGGAGGAGAGGACAGTGGTAAATGACATGGGCAGAGGGCCTTCACGTAATCTCCAGTATAGACCAGCGACTGCCCAATAGAAATATAATGTGAGCCACATATGTAATTTAAAATTTTCTAGTAGCCACATTAAAACAGTAAAAAGAAACAGGTGAAATTAATTTTAATTATTTTATTTAACTGAAATATATTAAGAATATTGTCATTTCAACATGTAACCAATATATAAAAATATTCATAGAATGGTTTACATTTTTTGTACTAAGTGTTCGAAGTCTGGTGTGTATTTTATACTTAAATCACATCTCCTTTGGGATTAGTCACATTTTAAGTACTCAGTAGCCGCTGTGGCTAATGGCTAGTGTGTTGCACAACACTGGTTGTGTGTGTGAGGGAGAGAAAGCAAACACGAGCTGGGGAAAGTGGAGGCTCCGGAGGGTAGGATGGGCAATGTCAGGAGAGGGGAGTGGCAGTGGTGAGCACAATCTGGAAGAGGCATTCAGTCTAGGCCCAGGTTCTGCTGGCGTAAAGATGTTTAAGCTGAGATCAGAAGGAATTGCTTAAAGGTATAAAGTTAGTTAGTGCCAGGCAGATTGCTAGAAGCCAGAAATGAAAACCCTTGACTAGAATTTGTTCATGTATTACTGTGTGACTTGGAACTAGGCTTTGTATTTTCCCTATCTGTGGGGGGAAAAAAAAAAGTGGTAGATTTGCACAGTCAGTGGGATTATTATGAGGTGCTATCCATAGAAATGCTTTTCTAAGAACATTTATGGATAAAATGTACAATGCCGTTGGAACTAAAAAGATTCTTTGCAGTGTGTGTGCACTGAGGTTACTGGGAGGAGATTTCTTCCCTTGGCGAAAGAAAACTTATGAACTAAACAATGCAGATTCCACTCTGAGCGCTTTGAATGTAGCAGTTTTTATTTATATCTCACGTCCTCATGGAGGATCGTCTCATCACTATGTCCCAGTCTCCTGTGTGGCAGAACATCATGCCCATCTCAGGTGTGCACAGAATGTTACACAGAGGGTAAGAGGGAAAGAGGCTTCTGTCTTCTGGCCAATGGAAGATGATGAGGAAATAGAGAAAGAACAGAGCAGTTGTGTTCTATTATTTTTTGAGCTGCATATCATGTGCCTGCAATTTGTGAAATCTAAGTCTCACTGTAGCCCTAGGAGGTCAGTCTGTCTTATCTTCTTTGTACAGATTGGGAAATGGAGACTTGGAGAGGTCAAGTAGCATGACTAAGGTCCAGTGCCAGGAAGTGGCAGAACTGGGTTTGGAACAGACCAGATAGTAGAAGTCTTTCCTTTGAGCTAGGATGCTGGTTCATCCCAAGTGAATTCTGAAGATGCTGAAAAAGCTCCCCAGAGTTCCAAATTAGTTGCAGAATAGGAAAAACCACCTCCTTTCTTCCTTCATATTTGACATTGATAAAGAGGAGGAGGGAAAGGCAGGCAACCTAAAACCCTCTTTTCATTGTTTTTTTGCAGTTCCTAAGTAGATCCTCTGAACTGGCCAAAATTACAATCGGGAATGAGCTTATGGTGTGCCAGGGCCTGTGCTGAGACTTGACCACTAGAGTAACTCATCTGATCCTCACCACAGCCCTGTGGTTGTGAAGTCGGTGCTGTTATTTTCATCCTTGTCTTACAGATGAGGTGCACAGAGGTTAAGACCTGCCCCAAGTCACCCAGCTGCTGAGGGCCAGAGCCTGGACTCACAGCCAGGTGGTCTGGCTCGTAGCCACGACCCAGGGCCTCACTGCTGGTAAATGTCTCTGTAGGATTAGGGTTAAACTCAACAGGCTGTTGCATGCAAATGTCATGTTTCTGTGGAGACTTTGAAAACTCCTGGTTGACTCAAAGTTCTCTCAAGGGTCTGAACCTCAAAATCTTTTGGGGGGAGGGCCTATAAAGAAAACTCCTCATTGTCAGCTTATAAATCTTAAGTCCTAAGTCCTACAATACCTCATGAAAAACAAAAATCTAGCCTCTCTAGCCAAGCATTATGACAGAGAAATCTGCCCTAAGTACTTCTCCATATGCATATTTTTACCTTAACCTGAAGTTATGACCTAAAAGTGAGCTGCAGCATTGCCATTCTAGGGCAGGATGTGAGGACCCTCTGGCTCTGACATTTTTCCCCCCACTGACTGCCGGGGTTGGTTCAGTTCATCCAGCACCCGGCTGCCCAGTCTGGTGGCGTTTTCCTCACTGCTCTGTGTCTCCTTCAAGAGCATCCTGCCTGGTGGAAATGGATGCTGTCCCAGCATTTCGTGGGAACTTGCTCGTGGTAATGGGAGGCAAACACTTCAATTGGTACATCACTTTTCCGTGAGAAGCCCACTGTTGTGAAAGAAAGAGGGATAGGGCCATGAGAAAGCCTGATTTAGGGTGTCTCTAGCACTCTGCTGCTTCATGGGTGTGATCTTGAACAATCACCTAGAGTTTCTGAGCTTCAGTTTCTGTATCTCCCTCGGTCGTGGGGATCGTGGTTAGGTTATCTAGTCTCCTGATTCGCTCTAAAATGAGTATAATGATACCTCCCCCGGTTACTACCCAGATTCTTGAGAGAAGCAAATGAGAATTTATTGGAAGATATCTTTTCAAACTGTAAAGTGCAAATGTGCACTGCTTGAGTGTCCTTGGATTTGTCCCCTCAATGGTTACAGTGATGACCTCTGCCTTGGATATGGCTGACGCTGTTTTAGGATGGCTCTTTTCTCCATAGAAAGAAAAGGGACTGTAGTTGAGAAAGGAGGATAGGGTAAAGGGCAAGGGGAATATGCCCTCCCCAGCATAGGCCAGGGTTCCTCAACCTCTGCACTGTTGACATTTGGGTCTGGTCATTCTTTGTTGTGGGGCTGTCCTTGCATTGTAGGGGGTTTAGCAATAGCCTAGGCTTCACCCACTAGATGCCAGTAGCACCTCCCCCCATTGTGACAACCAAAAATGTCTCCAGGCATTGCCAGATGTCCCTTGGAGGGCAAAATCATCCCGCATTGAGAACCACTGGCCTAGGGTTCTCCACTCAAAATCTCCTGAGGCCTGTGTGATGTGGAACTGGATGACTATCAG